GAATATGAAAATCTAACCTTAATTTAGAAATTACCGGCAATACAAAATCCGGCCACCTAATTGTTAACCTTAGCCTGCGCGGGTAATACAAATGAAATGGCCAATCAGAGAACACGAAAAAAGAAAAGAAAGCGAAAATACTCAAAAACTAGTGTTTAAATCGACCTTTGTTGACTAATAAAAAAACAACGGTGATGAAATTTCACATGTAAGAAACTCCAACTTATCGCCAAAGCTAACGTCCTAATTCTAAACTTCTATTTTTACGCACTTAGTTTATTTACAAAATTTAATTTCCTTTTTGGTTTGTTACCCGCGCAAATAAGTAAATCGCAATTAATTCAGTTACCCGGGTAGCAATAACCGGTTGATAGAGTTACGCGAATTCTTATTAAGGATAATAAACCTATCTCGAAACACTAATTAAAAATGCCAGATAATTTTACATACTGTATGCGATATAATAGTGAGCGTAATCCTAACCCCAATTAATTAAAAGCTTAATCGTTCTCCGAAATCCAAGTTTGGTTTAAATTCAAGATTACATTATTTTAATAATAAAATGATAAAATTTCACACGAATAAAGCGGATTCAATTTGCCTATATCGATATACAGTCCTGTTGGATATAAACGCTTTAGTGTTACGCAGGGGCGCGGGATCTCAATTCACCTACGTACTTTGCAGGTTAAGAGATATGTACATCATAATATCAAGAAAGTTTAATTTAAGTTTCTATTATATAGAGAACTCGCTATAACGAGTAAAATGTATTATTAATTAAATTAATATCTTTTTGACATATTTGACATATTTACATATTATTCAAAAGACATAATAATTATTTACAATTAACAATAAAATATTTGAAATGTTTAATATTGATTAAATTTATTAATTAGTATTAGTACTTATCTAATACATGCAATAAATGTTAAATATTGCAGACTCTATTATTTGTATATATATTTATAATTTCCATAATGCTGGATTATTGCCCGCACCAAAAGATAAACCAAAATAACCAGATTTCAAACTCACATGATGTACAGTACATAAAGGATTCTTAAGCTTGTGCCAACCTTGCTTCCAAGCTTCTCAAAGCTTCTTCTTTAGCTAAAAGTTCTTGCCTCTTTTCAGAGATTTCTCGTTGAACTTTTAGTTCAATTTCTCTCAACTAGATAATGCAAATAAAAGAATTCAGTAATAAGTTATAAAATAGGAAGAAAGAAATTAAATGCAAAATTCTCACTTTTTCTTCTTCTCGTTTCAGTTGTTCCTCTTTTATTCGCACACTTTGAGTAGTGAGGTCTTCAGACATAATAGCAGTGTCCCTATAAAAAATATACAAATTAATATGAATATAATTCATTAAATATTTCTATGAGCAAATATTATCTATACTTACTCAACGGAAGAATTGTCTGCACTTCGACTAAGTTTCTCGGTACGATAATTTTCATACAAGAAATCATGAGTGATTTCCTTCAAGTCTTGTAAATGAGAACTACAGAAATTATATAATGATATGATTTAAAAATATGAACCTTTGGACGGACTTTATATAGTAATAAATAATATATAATAATAACCTTAATAGAGCTGATCGTAACCTAGCAAAATCTGAATGTTGTGGGTTGTAAACTACAAAAATAAAAATAAAAAAATTGAGATATCCAAATACATAACAGACAAAATTCAAAATGACAAAATGAGACAGTGATGATGAACCTTCAACAACACCCCATGGATATTGACGTCCACGAACAGCTCTTCCATTCACAATAATCTCTTCTTCACTGCCGATAATAGCGAAAGGTAAAAGAGCCTACACAGTGCAAGAAAGAAATTAAGTATTTTATTAAATAAAAGCAAATAATAATATATATACCCGTAATTCGCTATTTTCTTCAACGGTTTCTTCATCATCTTCTTCAACATCAAATGGGAAATTGTAAATTGGAATATTATAATGATCAATATCTTCCATTATCTGTATTCGAATATGTATGAATTATTAATTGACATTTGTTAATTCAAAATTACTAAAAAATAAGTTCGTAAGTACCCTCTTTTTGAATTCAGACAACTCAGTGGGCGTGCACGTGTCAGCCTTACCGACCACCGGAATGACATTGACACGTGGACTAAGACGTTTCATTAACTCGATATCAATCTCACGGAGACTAAAATTGGTAAATTAACCAATTAATTTCATTCTTCAGGGGGATAATAATATAAGTGAATTTGATACTTACGAATGACCAGTTGGTGTAATGAAATAAAGGAGAGCATGAACACGATTATCACGAAATCGTGGATTACGTTTAATCCTTGATTCTTCAGCTAAAATGTCATCATACTGTCTCTCTAAATAACCCATAATTTCTTGGAAACTATTCGTATACGTCGAAATAAGTTGAGGCCTTTATACACAACAAGTTTTATATTCTAAAATTTAATTACCAAAATTCATTGTCTATGTTGTCTCCAAATCCAGGTGTATCTACAATTGTTAAAGCAATCCTGACACCATCTTCATCCAATTCTATTAAACAAAAATTATTAGAAAGAATAATTTTTTAGAATGTAAACTCAGGAAATCAACACTTACCAACAGTTACTGGTTTAATGCGGATGCCTTCTTCTACGTGGGCAGTTTCAGGTGAATCGCACAACTTTTTGGATAAAACCTCACTACCACAAAGGGTGTTAACGAAAGTAGTACGACCAGAGCCTGAAGCACCTGAAAAACACGTTTGTTGAATATATTAACTTTCATCGAATATGGCCCATGTAACGGGGAGCTTCTTAAATTATGCCATGTGTAGTTAAGGAATAAAGTATTCACACTGATAATAATTATAATATTTTTACATTATCAGTACAGCAAAAATAACGAATACTTTATTCCCAAACAGTACATAAAAGACTTACCAACCACCATCAAGGTGAATTGAAAACCCTTTTTCAAATTTTTTCTACGGCCTCCTAATCTCTGTTAGGGAACATAAGATCAAAAAAGAAGCATGTTGGTTAAGGTTGTTTAATTTTTTTGTTGAAATAAACAAAAAAAAAAAAAGACGTACATGAGCCATGAGTTATATAAAGGTTATGAAAAGTATCAAGGGAGTGTTGTATTTAAATTTATAAAGGAATAGGTCTTTAAAAGAGTGAATGCGTTCAACAACAGAGATATGTGGTGTATAAAGAACGCTAAAAATCGACCAGTTCGAAAAAAGGTATGAAGTTGCAGTAATGGATATGTCGCGCAGAGATAATTTTTTGAATAATTAATATGTACCACGATAATTGCACCAATAAACAACTCTGCTGCATCATGCAAATTACCCGTTAACACAGGTGACTAAGAAACTCTGGCAGCATGTACTGTATAAAGTTTTTACAAGCCCCATACTAGGAAACATTTGTTAAAGTACCTACATAGCAGATAAGCATGCATAAATGTATATGAATTATAAAATATACCTAATATCAAAGATTTACCGTGTTTATTGTAATATAACATATGTAATTTTATATCAAAAAAATATATCGATTGAAACCGAGAAAACGGATGCGCAAGTCTGAAACATTAATAAAAAACTACTGTATATGCATACATATAGTAATTCAGAACGTTGGTTAATGGTCATCTTGATCTGACCAATTTGACTTAGTCAAATAGTCGGATACATTATTACATATCGACATATTTGTTAACCAACACTGAGTAGAATGACACCCATTAGACAAATCAAATAGTGTCCAGGCCACAAGGCTCTGAATGCGATAACAAATAAGGGAAGAAGTCTATTCCCAATTTAAAAGATTTCCAAGCGCCACGCATCAAGTGAAACGTAATTCTTTGATTAACCCGTCCTTGAGTAAGGGCAGACACATTTCTTTGGTGAAATTACGCTAAAACCGCCAATCATTTAACTAAAGCCCTTCCAATAAAATGGGATATATAAAATGAATATCAAAAACATTATAGTGCGTTCTAGGCTACTTACAGTATGTATCAAGTTCTATAATACGACGTGACTCACAACCATAAATATATTATCATGTATATTCTTTAAAATGAAAAAAAACGGAAATTTTTCGCGCCTTTACACGCGCGCGGAAATTACTAGATTTTTTCACGAAATTCCGATTGGCTGTATAGCAATACGATCTACATAGCCAAGGTTATCACTAACAAGTATACAAGCACATCATTCAATAACCAACTTTAATACCGTATATTGATCTAATTAACTTCTGTAAGGAGGTTACCAAAAAATGAATACCGGATGCAAGATCCCCCATGATAGTAGACCCACCACTTAGATTTATATTAATCAAACATGGGTTTTTTCAAATATCTGGATTGTCTATTATAAATGCAAAACATGCATACTTTTCAAAGTTTTCCTCTTAGTGACATGAACTCTCGGCTGCATACTAAACCCGGGGTCTATTATAGGATTTAAAATTACTGGTATTGTATACTTTATCATTAAAAAGCTCTTATCCATTTTTATTTCATTTATGCATTTCATTTATATAGTTCATTTTGTTTTTTTAATTTTAAATTTGATCAATTTATGAATGGTTTTTTATTTGGTATAATCGAAAGAAATTTTGTTGTTTCTTTATGCATTCCATTTTAGATAAGATTAATAAATGTTAAGATACGGGAGTTTTCCAAAAGGCCTTGGATAGAGCTTTTCAAGATTCATGTAATCTTTAAAAAGTTTATGTGCTTTATTAGTGAATAAAAAAACATTCGCAATTTTTATTCAAAACTGTAGCATAGTTAACAGAAGATATAATTACCATATGAGAGGAAGTTGAAACAAATAATTTTAAAACTAAATTTAATAAAATTTCTAAAATTAATATAAAATTCTTATTAAATTGATTTAGGATACTTTGATTTAAAGTTTAAAAATTCTATAACTATATAGAATTAATAAAATAAAAAATTTTTATTGAATTTGGTTTAGATATTTTAACAATTTGAAAAAACTTTTACTTCAAAAAAATTTGATTCTTTTCTATTGATTTTACTCTATATACAGTACATATTTATATTATTTAAACTACTGTATATATTAGTATTAGTATTATATATGTTTATTTATTTAATATGATCAAATGCATATAATAAATACTAAATACAAAATATAGCGTATTCAAATTATTATAATAGTTCGAATAATTGTTATAGCATTTCCATGATAATTCAAATATGTAATTATTGCGATATTCATGTATACTACGTACTCACAGATGCAAGAGAATTTTAATTAAAGTAATAATGAATTATCATATATTTGTAATCGATCAATTTTTATATGTAAAAATCAAGACAAAATGAATTATATGATAATGTCGAACTCAATCATTATTTATTTGATTTCTAAAAATCAACTTTTACTCATTATTCATTCTACATCCCTTTTTTGATATTAACTGGGATATAGATAATGTTAATAACATACATTAGTGAACTACATACTGTGTATTAAAAGAATTTTTACAATGCATATGACAGAAATCACTAGAATAGCAAGTAATTCTGTAACTAATTTTTTTACAGTAACTAACAATAATTCTAATGCAAACTAACACACCTTAACCACATATATAGTTACCAGAATAGCAATAAAAAGCTAACTCATCTTAATTATATATTGTAATCACCAGAATAGCAAGTTCTGTAACAGAATTATTTATAGTAACTCATGGAAAAAATTCAATGCAAAACTAACTCAAACTTAACCATATATTATGGTCAATAGAGATCATGTAGTATTAATGCAAACTAACTTAACCACATATTGTAGTTACTGGAATAGCAGTAACAGAATTGGTTATAACAGAAATTATAGCAAACTAAAACTTAACCACATCGAAATAGCGATTAAGTTCTCTAACAGAATTTGTCTACAGTATCTTGTGATAAAATCATGATAATTCTAATGCAAGCTAACTTACCTTAACCAAAATAGCGAGTAAGCTCTATTACGGAATTTGTTCAATAACATGGATAAATTACATTAATTCCAATACAAACAACTCATCTTAACTACTTATTATGCTACCAGAATAGCGAGTAAGTCCTGTAACAAAACTATTTACAGCAACTCACATAGAAATTATAACAATTCCAATACAAATTAACTCTCGATCTTAATCACATGGTATAGTTACTGGAATAGCGAAAGTAACAGAATTTTTTACAATAACTCGTGATAAAATACATGATAATTCAAATGCAAACTCAATCACCTTAACCACATATTGTAGTTACTAAAACAGCAAATAAGAAGTTTTTCAGTAGCTCATGATAGAGATCGCATTAGTTTCAATATAAACCAACTACTTTATACATATTGTAGTTACCGGAATTGCAAGTTCTGTAACAGAACTATTTATAGTAAATCATAAAATAAATCCAATTTAATTCTAATTTATACTACATTCCTCACTCAAAAGAGGGAGGAAAACAATATAAATCACAAAATTAAATTGCAAATTGCCGTTATTCACAAATTTGCCCAATAATGGTGTTATCCGACAATTTATGATCATGATTGGTAGGGAGTCAC